TTTTTTTTTTTTTTTTTTTTGAAACTGAAACCTCAGTATTCACGTTTAATTGCAGTGTTAGCACTTTGCAATAAATAAGTAAGTTTTGGGTTGCATTTTCGGCAGTCATCTCTAAAAGGTTTCCTATTACTGACCTGGTCTGTTGGGCCCTCTGGAGTGAAGCCTTGGGCCCCTTGAAGGTGGGGCCTTTACCCTAAAACTCTAGCAACAGTTTGGCAAGATAACATTTTATTGGGGGAACATGGAATTTTGTTCTCTTGTTTTTCTGGATTGTCATTTCCAGGATAGAATAAAAATTACCCAATGCAACCAAAATTAGGTAAGATCTTGTTCTGTCTTAGAGAAAATGTTTAATCTCCTACAGAGAATGTAATTTCTTTTTCTTATGGTTATAGGGTTATGCACCACCGCCAAAAAATGGGATTGAGCAGAAGCGCCCTGGACGCCCCTTGAATATCACATCTTTAGTTAGGTTGTCTTCAGCTGTGCCAAACCAGATTTCTATTTCTTGGGCATCTGAAATTGGCAAGGTAATCCTCTCCTCCACTAAGAGTTGATTTTTTTTTCTTCTTTAGATATGAGCTCTAACTCTTTGTTTTCTCTTTATAATCTTTAAAAAGCAGTAATTTTCAATTCAGAATAGTGGTGAGATTTTTACAGTTGTAAACTTTTAACTCTGAGGTGTCCTAAGTATTGTCTCTTCATATCCTGGGAAAGGAAATACATATATTTATATTCTTTAAAGTAATGGTGTAAGCACTCTTGTTTTGTGTGTGTTTTTGTGTCGGGGGAAGTTATAAGTAATACCATTAAACTCAAGACTTTGGGTGATAAGTGTATATGAAGAGGAACCAAAAAGAAGAACTTTATCAGTCTTTAGGGGAAAGAGTTAAATGTACTTATGTTGTGATTAGACATAATCTGTTCTAGCTTTTATATAAACAGCTAATAGTTCAGATAATAAGTGGCCATCTAATAAAAATGCTCACTGAGAATTATTTCTTGTATACCTTCAAGTTCATGAACCTAGCTTTTTGGTGATTCTGTCTCAAAGTGAATTATATCAGTTATGAGATAATATACCAGGGCCTTAGATTTTAGACTTATTTATATAACAAAATGAACAGGGAAAGAAATTTCATTGAAGTTCTGAACATTAACTTGAGTGAATCTGCTCCATGAAAATAAAATATTACTGTTTTCACATTGAAGAAAGTAACCACATGAACAGCAGGATGTTTTTGTTGCTTTACCACCAAGCTAATTGTACAGCTGGCAGTAATGTAGTTTTTAAGATAACTGATTATAGACATTGAAAAATTGGCAGTTTTGTCATATAATGGGAATAATATTTGTTTTGTGTTAAAATGATTAATGGACCTAAAATTTGCACAATATATGAGTATGCAGATATTAAAAGAATATCAGAAAGTACTTAAAATAGTTGTTTTGTCAACTATTAAAAGCATTTGATTTATTATGGAATCAATTGAATTGTGTGTAGTGAAATGATAAAGTGGAGAGTTTTAGCATTTAGGTAAAATTATATTTCATTTCTTCATAGTCCTATGGAAAACTAAAGAAGGTTCTGCCAGATTTAAGAAGTACAGGATACTACTATTTTCTGGCCTTGCCTTTTGACTTATCATTCTTCATGTGTCTTACACACTACAGTAGGTATCTCTTTCCCAGTAAAATGCCCATTTAGGAATTAGAGTTTTTAAATCTTTCCTTAGAAGAGAGTTGATAACTGACTTCGTTTAAATTGCCCAGTGTCATTGGGCAAGTGGTCTGTTCTGCCAAAATTGGAAGCTTATAAAATTGTTAATTCAGATCATTGGTGTTTGTAGTACCACCACTTTTCAATGAAAATATGAGTACCTCATTGATACATAAGCTAAAAACAGAAGGAATCTGATGGTAAGTAGATATGAGAGAGTATACTGTCATGGTGTTAGCTGGTTTTGCTAAATTAGAAACTAACTGCTTGAGGCTCAGCATAGTGGTGTATGCCTTTAAACCCAGCAGTCTGGGAGATTGAGGCAGGAAAATTGACGAGTTTGAGCCCAGCTTTGACAAATTAGTGACTCACTGAAACACTCTCTGAAATGAAAAGGCCTGAGGATTTAGGTCTGTGTAAGCCCCTGGATTCAGTCTCTATTACTATGAGAAAGAATGAGACTTCTGATTGAAGCTCTTTTTATACCAGTGGATGTTTTAAAGTGGTAAGTTTTTATGAAATATCTTTAGAATAAGTATAACATTGTCCTTTTTAAAGTAATCTGGTTGATTTTTTTCCTTCTTTCCAGTCACTGACCTTCCTGGAGAAATTGTTTTTAGTGTTTTTAGAAACTAGAAATTTTTAGATGAGTATTTATGTAAAAAGAGTATTATCTCTAGTCTTTAATACAGAGTATCTTTTTTTGTAGAATTATTCTATGTCTGTGTATCTTGTACGACAACTGACATCAGCCATGTTATTACAAAGATTAAAAATGAAAGGTATTAGAAACCCTGATCATTCCAGAGCACTAAGTAAGTAATGTTTATAAGATCCAAGTATATGAGATGTTTTAATGGGGGTGGGGGAAAGCTTTAAAACTTGACCTTTATAAACAGCATGTACACATTACCTGGTGGAAGATAATCACAGACACATCGCCTATATAGTTTTCAGTTCTCATAGAAAAGATAATTCTGTTTACAGATTTAATAGTTGTTTGCTGGGCATGATGGTGCATGTCTGTAATCCCAGCTTGAGGCTGAGGCAGGAGGATCACTTAGAGTTTAGGTCAGCCTAGTCTACAATGAGTTCAAGTCTGTCCTGAACTACATAGCGAGACCTTATTACAAAAAAAAAAAAAATTATTTTTTAGTAGTTCAAAAAAACCAGTGCAACATAATAAAAACAGTAATGAATGTGTTACAAAATCTTTGAAGGTCATGATAGCAAAGTCTTAAAACAGTGTTCTCTTTTTTAATTCTTCCATATAATCAGTCTTACTTTTAAAGAAAAATCTTAAAAATTCAGTTATATATAAGATCCAGAGTTTGTACATTCAAAATTCTTTAACCTGATATGGTACTGGAAGTATAGTTGTACTTTCAATACACTAATATTTAGCAGTGTGTATTTCTTGCCTTACTCAATAGTGTTTGGGAAATTTACAAGAAAGATACATTTTTTTAAATTCAGCTCTTATGTCAACATTAGAACATTTTAATTATTATTTTTTTACTTTTTTTCAAGTTAAAGAAAAACTTACTGCAGATCCTGATAGTGAAATTGCTACAACTAGTCTTCGGGTGTCCTTGACTTGTCCTGTGAGTAAAGCTACAAATTGTTCTGGGGAAGTTTATTTTTATAAATGACTAATTTTCTTACAAAAATAAGTGAAAATTACTTCTATATTTTGAGAGAATTCTGAAATTTTTTTCACTATTTAGAAGTCTTCATGATTAAGCATTGTAATTCTTTGTATTCTTCAGGTAATGACAAAGCAAGAAGAGACCTGAAAGGCTTTCATATCACAGAAGGAAGATAGTTTTAGGCTAAGAATTATGTCAGAATTAATGCTGATAATCCACAGCTAATTATATGCACATATTAAGAGCTAGCTCCTTTTATCAAATATATATTGTATTGAAAAACAGCAATAAAATAACTAGGGCCTGAGAAGTGCTAACTGATGGTCTTGGTTTAATAAGTTATAATATTTGGGGTGTCTTTGTGTTGTACTTTATGTCTCTTTACATAGAGTCTTGGATGAGAAATCAGGCGAGCTACACTGAGATCCTCCTATGTGTTTGGCACTGAATTTAACTAGAAGAAAATATTGAGAATTTGGTGTGAAGTTGTTAGAAAGTTAATAATCTATTTTGAGAGATAAAATCAACTCACATGAAAAATCAGACTGTACTTAACCACCTATAAGGAGGTAGAGGTTAGGAAGAGTGGCTAAAAGCTTATTTAAAAATAGTGTGGAGCCAGACGTGGTGGTGCGTGCCTGTAATCCCAGCACTTGGGAGGCTGAGGCAGGAGGATAGCTCTGAATTCGAGACCAGCCTGGGCTACATAGTGAGTTCTAGGCCACTCTCAACTACACAGTAAGACCCTGTCTCAAAAAGCAAAAATAAAAACAAAAAAACATAAAAAATAGTGTGGATACTGGGCATGGTGGCGCATGCCTATAATCCCAGCACTTGGGAGGCTGAGGCAGGAGAATCACCAAGAATTTAAGGCCAGCCAGAACTACATAGTGAAACCCTGTCTCATAAAACAAAACAAAACATAAAATAGTGTGGAAAGAAGACTTTTCAGTATGAGAAAAATCATAGAATCAGAAATTTATAATGTAGTTTGGGGGGGTAATTATGAGAATATACATTGTTTTGTTTTGGTACCAGGAATTAAACTCATGGTCTTATGCTTGGCAGGTAGGCTCTGTATACTGCTGAGCTACATCCCTGCCCCAATGTATTTTCATGAAGACAAATTGTGTCAGGAAAGGAAGAAGGAAATAATTTGTGAAGTTCCTATTATGTGCTTATTTATTCTTGCAAGCCTATTTTGAAGAGTTGTCTGATTTTGTTCTTGAGGAATCCAAGACTGATAGAGATTGGTTAACCCACATCACGTAACAAAAATTAAAGTTTTGAGTTTAAAATTCTAGTCTTTCTGATATTATTCCAGTTCTCTTTCCCATAACTGCTGCCATGTTGGGCTCAAATATGAGTGTCCTGATTATAGGTTTATCTTCTAATACCCTGTAAAATGGTGTTTGTGGTTATCTTTCTTTTTAATGGTTTATCTATGTTCGTTAGTTTTTTTTTTAAAGTAGCATATCTTTATTGAAAGGTAACAGAATTTTGTGAAATTGGGAATGCTTAGAAATTGATACCGCTATGGTTATTCAATTTAGGGAGATTTGCATTCCCAGCAAAGGAAGATGTTATATACTGACATTGTGGTAGAGGCTCTAGTGGCCTTTTATTAGGACCCACACACCCTTATCTGTTCCAGAACTTTATGCATACTGCAGGTAGGAGTTGTTTTGAATGTCTCCATATTAACTTATTTTCCTCTTCTCATATTAAAATTAAAGTGGTTGTTAGATTGAAACAAACGAAATCACCATTTGTTGGTCAAAAACAGTTGAATTTTGATAGTTTTTTTTAATAGTTTAACCCTACTATGTTCAGCAAACATTAATTGATGACTGTATTCTAGGTGTGCTGTTATTGTATGGGAAGGGAATTCAGTGTCAAACTATTGTACCAGAAACAAAGTGCTTTTGTACAATTTTCATTGTGTTCAACAATTATATGATGGTATTTTCTGTCTTATTTTCTTTGAGTTTTTTTCCTCTTTGCATGGCTGCCATTCTACATGAGGAAAACCAAAACTAAACACAATATCCAAATATAACAAGGATTTCAAAGCTTCTAATAATAACAATATATTGTGGTTAGGATTCCTTTTATATAAGCATTAGGAGCAGTTCATTTGAAACTTGTAAAATTGACGATTTTAAGGGAATTAATTTTTCAGTTGTTTGAAGAAATATGTGAACTGTTTTCAGTTCTGGGTTTCAAACCTTAAGCATATCCTCTACCACTAAGCTATACCCCCAGCTCCTTTATCCTGTTTTCAATAATTACGTTTTCTTTCTCCATGTACAGTAACAACAGTTCTGTTTCTAAAGCTCATTTCCTTACAGTTTAATCTTACTTGATTTTTTTCAGAGCACTTTTCTGAAAAGAGTGAATTATACTCTTTGGGCTTTTAAGATAACTGTTATAAGTAAATTGTAATATATGCTGTGTATTAGAAAACCAAGTACAAATGTTGGTCATATTTAATGTGTAAATGACTGAAGTTAGATGATGGAAGTAGTTTTTGCGGACACAGTCTTAGCATCAGTTAGAAAAGGCAAAATGGTGTCCCTGCTGGCTAGTGATGAAAATAACACAGAATCTGGTGTAGTAACAGGAAGTGGAAAAAATATGGATGCACTTGGAAGGATAAAAAATGAACCCTGTTTTTATTTGACAAAAATGAGAAAATGACAGCCTAGGGTGGTAGAAGAAATGTTTGTTGTATTTATAGTACATTTGTGAAATGATTTAGAGTACACATGAATGTGGATAGTAGGAACAAGTTCCAGTTCTGGGACCTACAGAAGGTAATTTCACAGAACACTGGCTACCTTGGTTCACAAATTTAATTCCATGATTCTGGTTGCAAATCAACTTGGATGAGAACTGAATCAAATTTCCCCTTTAGGTCAACATTGAATCTAACCCTTAAATTTTAGAAACTTAAAACCAAACTTTAAAAAAGACCTTAAAAAATAACATATAAAAATGTTTTTCTAAGTTTGCTAAAAATTATTCAAAACCACTAATAGGGCTCACTTTTACAAACTCTTCTTAATTTGGATTCCTACTCATTAGCCTACATGAAGCAACTATCAATTTAGATATTTGCTTACATGACATTTTATAAGAAAAAATATTGTACTGTCTAGACATCATTTTATTAGTGTAGAATTAAATTAAGGATCAGCAACTTTATAACTTTGAATGTAATGTTGTGGAAATTTTAAGGCAGCAACAGGAAAGATGAAGATGGCATAGAAAAAAAGAATCACAAAAAGAATGGTTTACAAAATGTGGCCCAAGAGCAGGGAGTTGTGGCACATGCCTATACTCCCAGTACTCTGAGAGGTGAAAACAAGAGGATTAAAAATTTTAGGCCAGCCTGGGCAACTTAGCAAGGCCTTGTCTCACAATGAAAATAAGTAAGTAAATAAATAATAGGACTAGGTGTGGTAGTGCTCTGTACAAAGGTCCTATAAAAAGTCCCCAGTACCACATAAGAACAAAAACAGACCCTGGGGGTACCTAAGGGTTTCTGAGACTCAGAATTCCCCAAGTCAAACTTTTTGTAATAATGCTAATACATAGTCTTTTCTTTATTTTACTTGTGTGTATGTGTCTTTTAAGGATTAGTCTGGAGAATGTCTTCCATCACTGAGCTACAGCCCCAGCCGCCATAATTTCATTCCCTTTGCTGTTCTCTTTCTTAGTGGTTAACAGATTATGTGACAAGTTATGGTATCATTGCTCTTGAGGTTAATAGGGTGACTTATGTACTCTTTTAAAGTATTTTTAAATTTCAAATACAGTAAATATTGCTGTCCATGTACAAATGTAATAACTGAGGTTTTTAATTTTTAAAGGTGTGTCTTTATTTACTTTCTCATTGGTAGGACAAATAACACCCACAAGTTAAAGGAGGAAAGGTTTATTTTAGCTCAAAATTTGCTGAGGTTCCAGCCCATAGTCAGCTGGCTTTAAGGCAAAAGAGGTATAGCAGAGAACTAAACAGTCCGTAGCAGGGTAGAGCAAGCCTTCCTTTCCCTTTTATCCCATCTGTGCTCCAGGCCTAACAGATGCTGCTGCCTATCCACCAGGGTAGGGTAGGCCTTCCCATTATCCATACTCAGAACTATGCTGAACCCGTCAGTGGACTAATTTAGTTTTCACACACCCTTAATCCTTATTCATATATCTTAGATCAGTGATGGTGAGCCTTTTAGAAACGAGTGTAACCCAAACTGCAACCCCAAACCCACTTATTTATTTCAGAGTGCCAACACTGCAATTAAACCTGATTACTGAGGTTTTAAAGCGTTCAGAAAAAAACAACTCATAAATTAACGTCTTTTGTATTAAAAGAAAAACACACATGCCATAGGTTTGCTACCACGCTCCCCTAGATCCGGCCGCCTCCAAAAAGCCCTGTCTGAGCTTTTGAGGCTTTGGTGGGGGACATCAAGCCATGACAGGGTATAAAGGGTTCTGAAACCAAAGATTCAAGTACTTGTTGCTTAAAGAAAACAGTGGTCTGAGAGCAGTTAAAAAATATATAAACCAGTAATATTTAATGCCTACTTAATTATAAAATTATTTGAATAGAACAAACAAAAAATAAAAGTTAAGATACCAAGGTTATTTAGAAGTGGTGTTATTAATATATCTTTTAAAATTTAACGGTTTTTAATTTTATATGTTTATTGAAGAAATTATACTATATATATCTTTATATATAGATCTGCCTTGATCATTATAGGCATATTGTTGAATTGGCTTAGTGTAACTTTATTCAACCTATTTTAGTGATGATTTGGGTTGTTTGTAAACATTTATGATAATAATGCAAAACAAACTCACCTATATTGATGGAAAATTCCTTTAAAAAAAAATACTACCTGGGCCAGGGATTTAGCTTAGTGGCACTGTGCCTGCCTCTTAAGCACAAGGTCCTGAGTTTGATCCCTGGTAGGCTCAAGGCAAACTCTTACCTGTGAGCCCCTGCCAAAACCAAAAAGAAAGTTAAAACACTTCCAGCACACAATGACATAGGGTAAATGTTCCCATTTCTAAAGGGAAGAGTAGGAGAATAGACAAATATCAGACCACAGCCAAACTGAAACTCAGTAGCCGCAAACATTAAATCCTGTAGCTTTATGTCCAGAATTTAGAGCAAGTTGTGGCATAATTTAGCTCAGAAGGACTTGGGCTGCTTTGCACCTGTAGCATTGCTGGTTGCAACCCTCATGGCCTCTCCCTTGGGCTGCCTCTGCTCCTTGCCTGTGGCCCTCCTCAGCAGATATTCCATATTCCTGGCATCTCCACTGATTCCATATTCCTGAGATCTCCACTGCAGTTTTGCTTCACTCCCAGTTTCACACACTCTCTTCTCAGGGGCGCACTGCCTGGATGCTGAGTCTTCTATTGAAATGTTAAGCCAACATGATCCTGTAACTCTTGTATTCTTGTGACTATAGCACCAGCACGACTTGGATGGCACCAGGGTCTGCTGTCTCTGGTACCAGAATGGCTGAACACAATGAAATGAATCCTAGGGAACCAATTCCCTGTGTTAGCTATTCTTGAGCAGGTGGCCCAGGAGCTCTGTTCACAAATGAAAACTTTTTTGTACACTTGAGCCTTCCAAGGGTGAGTGGAGTCTTCCTCATTCCTGAGATGCTCTCAAACCATCTTTCCTATTGTGGAGATGTAATTTATTTTAGCAACCATTTACTTATTTGTTCCATTTTTGCAGGTGCTTCCTTTGTCATGCAACTTCAGACATTTTACATTTGTTTTTGCTCCTGATTTTCACTGTAGATCTGGCTAAAAGTAGACAGCAATGCCCATTCCATGAAATTTCCTCCACTGGAATAATTAGTCCAGTGCTCTTAATCTCACTTTCTTAAAAAGTCTCAATACATGGGCAAAATGAGGATGAATTTTCTGCCAGCGCGTAACATCACATAATCTGAAGTCAACTGTCAGCTGGGGACTGCCATACATTGAGCACCTTGTGCAATAGATAATAATAAAATGATGGCTTTTAGAAATGCAAAAATAGTTTGATTTTAGAAAATACAGTATGTTTGACCGATTCTTTAGGTGAAAGGATTATAAAAATCGTGATCATCTTGTTGAGTGCAAAATAGGTACGTAGTCAACATCCTTTTTTAATAGAACAAAGAAAGATTTTTAGCAGAATTGGGAAAGGATAATTAAATTCAAAAGCTAGTACTATGTATAATGTTATACAGCTAGGGACCTCTCAGGACAACAGGGAACATTGGGATTTGTGTTGTAACTCCACCAGCATTTTCTCAAAAAAAAATTTTTTTTTTTTTTAGCCTCTTGTAGCTTCTGCATCTTCATCTTACAGTATAAGTAGAGATGCAAGCTCCTCTGGGTCATAAGGTTGTTACGAGGATTACAGGAATTCCTCAAAAAGATTCTAGCATACTGTAACATTTTAGATAACTTCAGAGATAATCTGTTTTAAAGGAAGCAAAAATACAGAAGAACATATTTAAGAGAAGTTGCATCAGGGCTTTTTTCTTTTCTGTCCTAAAATGACAAGTTATTCTGTACTGCATACTTCTTTCAGTCACTAGTTTCTAAAGTTTCTTTTATAATCATAGGTAGGTAGAGCCAGTGTAGCACAATGATGAAGATGAACTGCATGGCTCACTTCTTACCTCTGTTATTTTCTGACTTTGTATTAGACTGCTCAACTTTTTTTTTTTTTTACTTTTTATATATATTTTTTTCCTTAGCTTCTTTGTACCTCAGGCTTCTTATTTATAAACTGGGACCTGGGTATGGTGGTTTATATTTTTCCTCCCAGCGTTCTAGGAAGCTGAGGCAGGAGGGTTTTAAGTTAGAGCCCTGCCTAGCAAACTTAGCAAGAATATGTCAAAATAAATTTAAATTTAAAAATAGGAGCTGGTGCTGGGTCTGTAGCTTTCTACTGCCTGATCTATTGATACTGAACATGTACTATGAGTTCATATTGTGCTGGGACAGTGGGATTACAGTGATGAACAGATGTAGACTACCCTGTCCTTAGGGAGTTTAGGTTCTAGGGGGAGAAACAAGTTTTCAGACAAAATAACAGCTAATTTTAAATAGAGATATTTTTTGTGAATGAAATACATGACATTTTAAAGGTTATACAGGAAAATCTGATCTAACTTGGATACTGTACATATCTTGACATCAGTAGAACTCTGCAGAATTGTGTACAAAATGTGCAATTTGTGGGAAGAATATTTTCTTGATTAATGAACGAAACATATAGGAGAGTTCCTGTAAGAGATATATAATAGTGGTTCTTTAGGGCCTATTGGGCACCAGGTAGGAAATCTTGTTTTCATTGTACTGTTTATATATATATATCTTTTTCTACCTTTGAAAAAGTGAAATGATCTTTCAAAAATCATAGAACAGTCAAAGGAACTTTAAAAAGTAGTCTTGATGGGATTAAATTCTGATTTGGATTCCTTTTTTAATTTTGATAATCTTTTTGAATGGCTTCTTCAAACTGCTATGATTGTTTCTGTGAGGTTTTATTTTCCATTTTGAAATAGTTTCCACATTGTGTTCTTGTCCTGTAGCTAGGGAAAATGAGGCTAACAATCCCATGCCGTGCAGTGACATGTACACATCTGCAGTGTTTCGATGCTGCCCTTTATCTACAAATGAATGAGAAGAAGCCCACCTGGATTTGTCCTGTGTGTGACAAAAAAGCTGCCTACGAAAGTCTCATATTAGATGGGTAGGTATATTCTCCCTACCTCCACCTCTTTACTGTGTTAGGGATCCAACTCAAGGTCTTATGAATGGTAAGGATGTTTTACCCAGAATTCTTCACTCCAACCTCCGTTTAATTTAGTTTTGTTTTCTTTTCTTTTATAGTACAGAATATTAAACATAGGCTATGTACCCAACCTTTTTCTAATTTTGAGACAAAGTCTCATTAAGTTGCTCAGGGTAGGCTTAGATTTGAGGACCTCCTGACTCAACCTCTCAGAGAGCTGTGATTGCAGATGTGAGCAACCGCATCCAGCTATTACATCACTTAATAAGTATTATCTTCTTTGTTTCCTTTCTAATACTTATTGGCTATGTCTTCCATCAGCACAGTCTAATATATATATATATATATTCTATTCTAGTATATAAAATTCAGATGTTTGTGTATTGTTAATACCTAATTTTACTCAATCTTATTTACTTGCATAGGCTACCAATTGAGCATCCCTAATCTGAAAATCTCAAATTCAAAATGCTCCAAAATCTGAAAGTTTTTGAGCATCCTGTTGATATTCCAGAAAGTTTCAGATTTTTGTATAGGGATGGCTAACTTATATGATTTGTCTTAGAAGCAAGAGGATAAATAGTTTTCCTTTTAGTTTTGCTTTCCAAGATCATATGTTGTAAAAAGTCTGCAGGAAAGAGGAAGACTGCTTAATGTTATTATTTTATTTACCTAGAATTTTTTCTTTTTGTACTGGGGATCGAACTTGGGACCTTGCGCTTGCAAAACAAGCAGCAGAAGCATTGAGCTAAATACCTGGCTAGAATTGCTTATAATAGCAGTTAAAGTCTTTGTAATAGCAGTGTCTTTGAAATAAACCAAGGAAATGATAGGGTAGATAAAAATCACATTACACAGCTGATAAGTTCAAAATTAGTATTCATTAGGGCTGGGGATTTAGCTCAGTGGTGCCTGTGCCTGCATTGAAAGTGTGAGTTTCAGAGTTTGATCTTTGGTACAAAAAAAAAAAAAAAAATAGAAGTCATTAAACATTAATTCTTCGCATACTGCTTGTGTCCGAATTTGCAAATTTATATCAAGTATTTTCAATAAATGAGGTGTCCTTTTCTTCAGATGACACTTGAAAAATAATGACATTTGTCATCTCGGCAGTGATGCATAGAATTAAAAATACAGTTAACGAACTAATCAGCCCCATCCTTTGGTGTTGACTTTTATCGATGTATTTAAAAGATTCAGATCGTAACTATATAGTTTTGTAGGTACATATGATATTCCCTCAATACCTAGTGAAAAGTATTCTAGCGCTTGAAAGATAATTCTACGGTATTTATTTTTAAACATTTTAAAAGAGTATTGTGGAAAGGAATAAGGCAATGAAGACTGAGTATGACTTTTCACCTTTCTCAAAACTTTTGTTTTGCTTTATTATTTTGAAATAATTTAAAACTTACAGAGAAGTTGCATCAGTAGCACAAATAACCTCTAATATTACTTTGATCCAGATATATCAGTTAACTTCTGCCACAATTGTTTTATCATATTCTCTCAAAATGTACATATACACATGTGCATGAGTATGAAAAGATGATTAAAGTATATTAATATATGTAGAATTCTTTTAAACCATCTGAGAATTGGATGTGGATTTTTCTAGAATTGTGTATAAATAGAATGATAAAATACATAGTTACTGGGCCCGGGGACTTAGTTCAGTGGTTCTGCTGCTTGCCTTGCAACTGCAAGGACCTGAGTTCGATCCCCAGTACCCCCCCCCAAATACTTCCTTTTTCTAGCACCTTTTACTTTACCAAACTTACTTGAAATTCTTCCATTTTACTGCATGTACCAAGAGTTCATTTAATTATAGCATCATATTCTATTGTATAGTATACCAAAGGTGAGTTATGTTTTCACCTTCAGTGGATTGTTTCTGATTTTGAATTATTACAAATACAGATACGAATGTACATGTCCAAATCCTTGCGCGAAGCGTGAATAATGTTTTCATTTGTCTTGTAAATAAATACTTAGAATGAGATACCTGGTGCACATGCTAGGTTTATGCCAAAAAAAACACTACCAAACTGCTCTAAAGTGCTTGTTTTTTGTTGTTGTTGTTTGTTTTGTTTTGTTTTGTTTTTTGGTACCAGGGATTGAACTGGGGTCTTTGCACTTGCAAGGCAGGCCACCAACCCATTGAGCTAAATCGCCGGCAAAAGTGCTTGTTTTATTTTTTATTCCAGTTAGCCTGTGAAAAATCTAGTTGCTCTACATTCTCAGCAGTGTTTGATACAATCATTTTAATTTGAGATGTTGTAGTGATGCATAGTGGTAACCCACTGTGAAATTAATTTGCATTTCTCATTACCAGTTGCATTAAGTATCTTTATTCTCCATCTGATTGTTTTCTTTAAAATGACTTCAAAATTATTTTCATACTGAGTTTTGATAGTTCTTTCTATATTCTGGATACATACTTGTTTACAAATATTTTCTGCCATTTTAACTTTTCAGTTTCTAACATTGTCTTTTAGATAACAGGTTTTTTTCTTTGGATGAAGTCCTACTTACCAGCTTTTTCTTTTATCAGTTGTTATTTTGGTATCATATTAAGACATTTTTTCCCTGATTTATTATCAAAACATTTTTCTGTTATGCTTTCTTGTAGTTTTATGAGTACTTTTCCATTTAGATCTATGTGGGGAAAGTTAATTTTTGTGTGTGGTATAAGACAGGGATGAAGGTTTATTATATTTTAATTTATGATCATGTGATTGTGGATTTTTCCCTCCTAATTTTATTGTCTTTGCATCTTTTTCAAAAAACTCTTGACCATATGTGTGGCTCTATCTCTGGACTTATATATTGATTTGTTTATTATTTATTTAAATACTGTACTCTGAAAATTAGCATGAATTTTTACCCCCCCCATAATTATCATGGCTGTTGTAAGTCTTGCATTTTAATACATATTGCTGAGTCAGCTTGTCAGAACAAAAACCTACTGGAATTTTGATTTGTATTGCTATGACTAGAAATAGTTTGTGGTAACACAGATATATTGAATCTTCCGACCTGTGAACTTGATAACATTACTTCTCACTGATGTTTGTGGTTTTGAATATACCTTGTACATTTTTGTCACATGAATCACTATAGTGTTTTTAAAGAAATTTCTGATTGTTGCTAGTATATAGAAATGCAGCTTATTTTTGTAATCTTCCTAAACTCAGCAGTTCTAATAACTTTTGCAGATTAGATCAGATTTTCATATATGTAGTAATGTTTTTGAATAAAGATAGTTGCATTGTTATCTAATCTGGATTCCTTTTTCTTTGGTCCATCTTCTAAGGCTGAGCGGTCTGTTAATATGATGAATTATGTAGATTGACTTTTGAATATTAAGCTCATGTTGCATTCTAGAGATAAATTCCACTTGGCCATGATTTTTTTATCCTTTTTATTTGTTGTTGGATTCGTTATGTAAAGTTTGTGCCTGTTATTGGTATATAGTTTTCTTGTAATGGCTTTCTTTCTAGTGTCGTTTAATGCTGTTGTCATATAATGAGTTGGGCAGCAATGGTCTTGTATCTCTTCAAATATTGATAGAATTTCCTAGTGAAGACATTTGGGCCTGGAATTTTCTTTAGGATAAAGTTTTAAACTGCAAATCCAATATTTTTAGTAAGCCTCTTCTGGTTTCTCTCTCTCTTTGAGTTAATTAATTTTGACTAAAGTGTGTCCGTTTTACAAAAGTTGTCAATCTCTTTGATCTGCAAAGAATCAGCAATTTTTAGTTCTATTAATTTTTCTGTTTTTTTTATATTTCATTTATTTATGTTCTTTTCTTTCTTGCTATTTTACTTATACAGTACTTTATTCTTTCTGTTTTCATAAAGTTGTTGATTTGAGACCTTTTTGGAGAAAATAAGCTAAAATTTTTCTTTCAAAGCCTTTTTTAGCTTTAGTTCACAAATTCTATTCAAAATATTTTCTGATTTTTTTAAATTTGTCTTTGTGTCATAGGTTTATATAGAGTTTTCCAGATAGTTTTTGATACTGGCTTCAAACATAATTTCATTTTTGTCATAGAAAATATTTCGTACGCTTTGAGTTATATTTATTAAGACTTGTTTTCTATCCCTATTCCTTTCTACTTTTCTCCATTCTTGTATTCCTTTATTCTTGATCATAAGTTTATGAATTATTACCTTTGTCTACTTATTTGTTGTATGTGCTGTGCCACCTGTTAGTCTTAACTCATTCACAATAGACTATAATTTGTATGTCTCGCTGTTTGGTAGTTCTGATGTGAATTCCATACTCTGATATTAAACACTTAACCCTTAGTGATTCATGCCACATGATGGAACAGTCGTGCATGTAATACAGTTCAAGCTGGCAGGAACATGTTTAACTACAGTCCTACTAGGAAACTACAGGTTTCAATTTGTGCTTTAGTCACTGATATTGTAAAGGTCACTCAGTAAGTCACTTAATTCTTGTATTACCTGTTCCAGACCTAAAATCTGGCTAAGGGATCTAGCTCAGTGGTAGGGCATCTATGTACTATGCACAAGCTCCTGTATTTGATCTCTAGCACCACATTGCATAAGCCTGTCTGTCCATCTCTCCATGGAGGAAGAGTGCATTAATACTTGTTTCAAAGTGTGAAGTATTAAAATACAAAATAAGTCAGCATTATTTTTGCTTGCGAAATTATATTACTTTCTTCATTTTTTGAGCAAAGCCATTGATGACATGTATGTATTGTACTTCTTAATTGGTTTACAGGCTTTTTATGGAAATTCTTAATGACTGTTCTGATGTGGATGAGATCAAATTCCAAGAAGATGGTTCTTGGTGTCCAATGAGACCGAAGAAAGAAGCTATGAAAGTATCCAGCCAATCATGTACAAAAATAGAAAGTATGTGCAAAATGGCAACAAGAGAACAAAGCACTGAGACTTGTGGGATATTATCTTTATTATTAATCTTGGCCCCTAGAACTGATTTTGGAGTTCAGTTTTCTAACTTTATCTCTTGATCATCTGTAATTTTTTCCTTGAAATATGCTCATTTATACCATTATACCAGCCTTTTCATAATGTTTCTCATGTACAAAGTAAATGAAACATCCATCTAAAATACTTTTAATAGATAATGTTTGTTATAAAATGAAGTAAAAAATGATATTTATATGGACAGTTTTTCAGAATTATTTTGAGAGTGTTTGTTGGCACAACCTCTGGTGGAGGTGTATTTAGACAAGGAGGCAGGTATATATATATAGATAGATAGATAGATAGATAGATAGATAGATAGATAGATAGATAGTTGTTAAGGAGGTATAGTAAGCAGATTGTTTCATGTGTGTGTGTGTAGGAATTTTATCTTGCTCTTGATTACCTAGAAAGTATTATCATCCTTCAATTCCCTGAGGAATGGGGGCACTAAAGTCCCATAGGTAAATTGAAATCTATAGGTAAATTCAAGTCTTCTCTGACCTAGTGTACTGGTTGATTTTGAGTTTTATTTTGACTGTATTGAAAGTAGGCATAATGTAGTTCATATATGCCAGTATTATCCTTCCAAAATTAGTACTGAAACCAAGATTGCAGTGATGTTTTCTCTTGTCTTTAAGAAGATGGAAAGTAATTTAATTGACTTGTTATTGCTCCTTTTCTGTTTATCAACTAGCATTCATTTTCAACTAAAAAGATTATAAAGAATAATATTTTTCATGAAAATGTGAATTAACGTATGTGAGACTGTTTTAATGGACAAAAAGGACTTGCGCGATTAGATAATTCATGAGAATAACTGCAAATAAATAACAAGTGGGAAGTGAGGATTTTTTTTCCTTCCGTTTATCAAGGTGAAAATTTTTTATTAAGTTCTGGCTAATGATTAAGAGCCTTTACATTTTTTGGGAAGAACAGGTTTCCTAGAATAGTATTATTTCATTCTGATTTAACGAAACCACAAGTCTAGGAGAATATGCAGTTGAGTTTTTTCCCATGGCCGGAGCCCAGTTCCCTAACTCCAGAGGTTTCTCTGTAGAATAGCTGTTAACCTAGCAAGACAGCTTGAGCCACAGGATCTGTACAAATCCAGCAACAGTATTTGAGCCACCTAAGAGTATGCTGTCTGAGGGATGCTTTTGAACTCTTGTCAAGGAATAAGCTCATGCCTATGCCTTCTGTCTTCTTAAGTAAGCAGTCATTTTATAGACATCTAGAGTTAGGGAGCTGGTTTGTATCCATAGGCTAGAATATGTGGCTTATATGGCTGTGTATTGTAATAGATACACTACATAATTAAGACTGTCAAGGCTAGAGTTTGCATGATGTTTCTGTTTTTCTTTTATTTCTTTACATTTAGGTTCAAGTATCCTCAGTAAGCCTTGTTCAGTTACTGTAGCCAGTGAGGCAAGCAAGAAGAAAGTGGATGTTATCGACCTAACAATAGAAAGCTCTTCTGATGAAGAGGAAGACCCTCCTGCCAAAAGGAAATGCATCTTTATGTCAGAAACACAAAGCAGCCCAACAAAAGGGTTTGTTAATTTATAGTTCACTACTGCTCAGTACACTTAAAACTAATTGTTCTTGGGCCAGTTTTTTAATGTCTCTTTCAGAAGCTGCATGGGAGACAGTTTTAATTTGCTTTTATTCAGTTGAAATATTTTCATATAAGCTCATTATAGGAAAGCAAAATTGATGAAAAAAATTACATCTCTGGGAAGTGAGAATTTGGGATTTTAATTTCATATCTGATAACCTTTTGTTAATTTCCTGAACCTATGTGAAGAAATTAAGCATCAGGCCAACATGAGGAAGCCTGGTATAATAAAATACGGAATTAGGAATCTTCCAAGATCAGATTACCATTATGGCACTTGTTTACTTGCTCTTATTTTGGTCAAAATCCTTAACTTGCTTGAGCTGCCTTTTTTATCTTCTGTAAATTAAGGTAAAATGTGCTTACTTTGTATGATTACTGTCGAGTTTCAATAAGCTAATGAAGAAAACCTACCCTCTCTTGTCAGGCACCTGGTAGTTACTCAGTGAAAATTGATTTCCTTCCCTTTTCACCTTCTCCAGTGCAAAATATGGGCAAGTTGGTGCATTCTACACATAGCTCATCTCACAGAATCCCATTCCAACCTAAAGGAAAAGACAGGTCCAAATGTTTAAAAGCAGGTGCTTTTCACAGAGATTTGGGAACACATGTAGTGGAGTGTTTCTCAGCAACCCATGAACACCTTTAGACTTGGATTTACTAGTCCTGTCTCTGGTTTTTCAATCACACTTATTTTTCTCTTAATAGCTTTTTTACACAGAGTTGTACAGTTACCATCACAAGTCATTTGTGGAATATTTCTGTCACCTCCCTGAAAAATTATGTTCATTTAAAGTTTTTTCACATGCATTCCCTAGATATAGGCAACCATTGCTCTTCTTTTCATTTCTAAATTTTCCTGTTCTAGACATTTTATATGATCAGAATTATGCTCCCAGTATATCTGTAACATATATTTTTGCAGTTTTTAATAGGTACTTTTGAGATAACTTTCTGTAGTTACTTTTAATAACTAAACCATTTGAGCTGCTTTCTTTATTATTAAAATGTATTTTCAGATATGATTTATACATCCAGATAAAGACAAATGTTTTCTTTCACTTTTTAAAATTAGAATGAGGTTTTAAGTGGAATAGAAAATGAGGAAAGTAATTAAAGTGGATTTTTTTCTGACATGCTCATTGTTTTTTCTTCCTTTGAGACAGTTTGGTTGGCACTTCTGTAATTTAAGTGATAAATGAAAATATAGTTTTCAGATGTTTATGGGCATACAATCAGGAGAATGCTTACATACAGTATTTCTAAATTTTACTAATATCCTTTAGAATATTCTTGAAAAACGAGTTGGAGATACTATAGTTAGTAGGAGTCAGTACTGGTTGAAAGATTATGCATATTAATTCTGATCCATGAATTGTTGCCACAAGGGTCTAATCTGTGTACATTTTCATCGGTACTTCATGAGGACAGGAAACTGTACGAATGACATATACATCAGGTAACAAAATCTAAAATGATCCTATATAGTAAGCTGGGCGTGATGGTGCACGCCTGTAATCACAGCACTTTGGGGGCTGAGGCAGGAGGTTTGCTGGGAGTTGGAGGCCAGTGTGAGCTACATAGTGAGGTAAAAAAACTGAAAATAAATAAAATAACCGTAGTATTCAGAGGAGTAAGGCTAGTTTACAGTTGTGCTTAGCTACCATAGAGATAGATGTTGTCTAATTTGTAAAGAAAACAAAAATTATCAGATCAATCTAGGTGGAAAGTGTAATTAAATTAACACATGAAAGTTTTGATTTTAAAAGTCTGTATAAATTTCAGTTACCCAGCTCTTTCCATGAAGTCAGTGTAACCCTTTATATCAAATTAGATTTACACATTACTTCTTAGACAAGCAATCACATGAAAAGATAAATGAAAATTCTGCCTCAGTCTTTAAAAGTCATGTAATTATATATTGAAATGACATCCAATATGACCAGGTATAGTTTATCCTGAGGGTGCCTTAATATTAGGAAGTAATTGATTAAGTGGGTTCTAAGAATAGCTAGCATAGTCAACTTACTAGATACTTGAAAGACATTGAATAAATACATTTCTGATATAAACGCTTATAAACTGTCAGAATTCACTTAATGGCTTCAATGGTTCACTGCTTAAATTGATTTGTTCTTAGACAACATTAATAAAAGAAGCATATTGTTCAATTTTATTCCAGTTTGGGTTGTTTGACTTTATTTAAGAGCATTTTAGTCTATACTGAAACTTGAAATACATTAGATGTGAGTGTAGGCAGAGTGATGGTACAGAAAGGTGAGCTGTGGAACCTGGTGCACATGATGGATGAATAGGTCCCAGAACTGAAATTTAAGCTAGGAGACAGGAATGTGTTACAGCTACCTTGTAGTTCTTAAAAGGAACCCATTGACTAGCTAGAGCTTTCTTCTTTATCATTACTTTTCACCCATTTAGGTCAAAGGAAGAAAGATACTCAGGAATATTTTGTATTGGAGCTTCTTGAACACTAATAGTTTATATTTTGTGCTAAAAATTCATTTTCTGTTCAAAGATAGATGGATGCCACTTGTAAGATATCATAATATTGCTTTATGCTATGGTTGTATCATCTCTGGTCCTTTCATATTCCTATGCTTTTGTTCAGGGTCATTCTTTTCATATCTTCTCTTTGTGTTTCACCATCCAGAACTTTTGTGGTTTTCCTCTGTTGAGTAAGTTCATCATAGGACTTCTTGGCCAGGGATAGTAAGCAAATGAGAAAGAATAGAGCATGAGAAGTATAATTTAGAGTCTAGAAAGTATACGAGCAGCTATTTTTAAAAGGGTGTATTGTCTTAGTAAACATTGTTCTTATAAACAGTTTTACAGAGCACTAAAAAGAAAGTAAAAGCCTCTCACCCGGAGAGAACTGTTAGCATTTTGTTGACAGTCCTACTCCCTTTTGTTGCAGACCCAGTAGATTATAAAATGCAATCTTATCATTCCTGTCAGATGAAACTAGTTTTATCTAAAGATTTAGAAAAATTCAATTTTTGTGTATATTAGAAGATAATTTTATATTCCATGCTCCTGTTTCATTCCTTAAAAATTTGATAGTTGCTTAGATAGAGATTTCTAAAGGCAGAAAACAAAGAGTATGGGTAAATATGTGTGCTTCTGGATCAAGAATTATTAAGGGACTACGGATATAGCTTAGTGGTATAGTATTTATATAGCATGCACAAGGCCTTCAGCTTAATCCTCAGTACTACCAAAAAGACATTATGAAGAATTGATACTAAATTTTAATCTTTTATTCTTTTATGACTATAAAGTGGTACACACTATACTTCAGGTATGCGAATAAAAATCATGAACCTATTTTCTGACTGTAAGTGTGGGCCAAGTATGAATTTCATATACTTCTGATTGTAGTGTTTTGTTTTGTTTTTTTTGGCACTGGGGCTCGAACTCGGGACCTGGTGCGCCGGCACCACTGAGCTAAATCTCCATCCAGCCTTTGTGATTGTAATAAACAGTTTAAAATACCAATATTTGCTAATAGCATTCTACCAGTTTATTTTTGTGCTATGATAGTTATAGAAATTTAAAATATATTTACTTGCATAATGTATACCTGTTCTTTTTGTGTAATTGGCCAATCCTGTGAAGAATCAGAAACATTTTAAAAGCTGTCTAAATTTTTTAATATATGGCATCACAGTACATTAATAATTCCACAAGACAGCCATTTACATTTCTTCATGGAACCTATTATTCATAATTTATAAATACATCTATTTTTCCTTGAGTTTTAAAATCATTTTGTTTCTCAATATGGTCCTTGTGAAGATTCTGATTTAAACAAAAACCTGCTACCAGTATATAATTTGGTAATCATAATAACTGTTTTTAGCCTTTATATATAAATTTGCATTTTTTGTTTTGTTTTTGGTACAGAAGATCAAACTCAGGACCTTTCACTGGCCGGGCAGGCACAGTGCCACTGAGCTAAATCCTCAGCCCCTATAAAATTGAATTTGAATCAATAGTTAAATAATTTAGATAAAAAGAGTCAGTTGACCCTTAAGATGATTTAACTTTTCAAATGTTCGATGAAGTTTTAGATGTTGATGTAATAATACCATTGCATTCTGGCATTTTCACATGTTTTGATAGTCAACATTTTGATATGGGAGAAACAATAGTTTTTTAAAAGATCATTTAAAGTTTCATGTTGTGTTAACAGGACATACATAATAGATGTTACTGTGATGACAGTGTGTAGGCACATGGACTTGACTCTCTTTTTTGGGACTACTTTCGTGTAAATCAAAGCCACAGGGCTGGGGAAAGAAAGGGAATTTGGTGGTTGTTTCCTCTAAATGTGATCTAAGTTAAAGTGTCAATTCAGGATGAAGACAAAAGAAAATCTCCAATGAAATATCAAAAGAAGGAGTGTTAGGAAAATACATGTTATCTGTTTTTCTTAAAAATCTCAAATTCTTTTGGGGAAAGATGGGGATATATATGAGCTTTACCATAAGCTACACTCCTAGCACCTAGGAATTCTTTTAGGTTCTTTCAGTGACAGAAAAGAGGTAATTGATTAAATATACTTTAAGGAGAAATTTTAAAAAATAAAGAAACTTTATATATGGTGCAGCCTATAATCCTGGCTCTTGGAAGATGGAAGCAGGAGAATCACACATTTGAGACCAGCTTAGTCTATATAGCAATTTCAAGATCAGCCTGGACTACATTGTGAGAGCCTGTCTTTGAAAAAAAAAAAAAAAGCTTGTTTCCTTACATTTTGAAAAAAATAAGTTTAAAATATTGGTATTCTGAGTCAACCAGAACAATCAAAGCCATTTTTTAGCACCCTTCCCAGCAGTAAGCTACAAACTAATCTTCTTCTTACTCTCTTGGTTCTTCTCCCACCTTCATTTTTTTCTTCCCTGGTACATACTTCTGGTGAGAGAGTGAAGATTTGTGTATCATTTGAAAACACTTAACTGGTTTCCTGTTCTTTTCCTTTTCCTTTTGAACATGTGCAGTATTTTCAAATCTTGAAGAAACAATGAGCTCCAGATAAAACATACTTGTCTTAATTCTAAGTTCCTTGTTTCTCCTTCCAGGCTCTACCTTTCCCAGTAATCTTCACGTCCTGCTTGTGGTTTTAGATCTTTAGGAACCTCTGGAGTTCAAAAAACCTACTGATTCTAACCTAGGCAGGTTGATCTTTGGAAGATACCTTCCCTCTGTCTCCATCTATTTTGGAAAATGCAACAGCCTCAGCCATGTTTCATATGCTTTCTAATTTAATCAGTTTTAAATCTAAGATTTTTGAATTTTGACATATTTATTCACTCTTTGGAGAACAACATAGTTGGCCAACATAACTATAGTGTACTTTCAAGATGACTTTGTTTTTCATATTTCTGGAACCAGTATTTTTGATAAATAACAAAGAAGAATATCTTGTTTGGCATAATACACCAGTTTTAAGATGCCAATATCTAAAAAGGTTCTGATTTATTTAAGTGCTTTATTAACTGCTTTTACATTTAAATCAAGGTTATGAAATTGTTCATAAGTTAAGAGTATGAATATCATACAACTATATCATTATCTTAGCTACTGTTATTTAATAATTGAGCACCAACAGGAAGTGTTTCAGCCACAGGAACAGATGTCTAAAGATCCTAAATTGTTATCAGAATTTAACTTTTGTCAGTATAATTTGAAATTTCTAACAAAGTTGCACTTTCTTCATCTTTGCAACAGTTCCTTCCAGCTTGTCATTAATCTTACAATAGTTGATTATCAGTATTTGGAATGCTATTCTTTTTTTCTTTTTCTTTTTCTTTTTCTTTTTCTTTTTCTTTTTCTTTTTCTTTTTCTTTTTCTTTTTCTTTTTCTTTTTTTTTTTTTTTTTTTTTTTTTTTTTTTTTTTTTTTTTTTGTACTGGAGATTGAACTCAGGACATTGCAAGGCAGGAGCGGGTGCCACTGAGCCAAATCCCTGGCCCCTTGGTTTTCCATTCTTAATATTTTGCTCCTTTTTGCCTCTTTTTTACTAGGTGGTAAGATAGACATCGTCAACCTTAGGGTCAGTAATGGTAGTTAGTTCATAAACACACATTTGTGATGTTTTTCTTGTGAAGTTCTGATTGTTTACCCTGGGATAAGAGAAAATACAGATTAAATAGAGTGCAAAGTTTGTCTTCAAGGCTGAACTTTTCCAAAAACATGTTTTAATTTTTATACTACTACTTGAAACTATAAAGTTTTAAATTACATAATACATATTTTATATAATAGTAAATTATAAAGCATTTCTTACATTTTTGTATTTTTAATAACATGAACATAACAATTTCAAAATCATAAACCCTCTTAGAAGAATAAGTATCACGGTAGGGAACATTTTTATTTCTGAGTAGTAATCTTCAGTCCTGAATTTTGGTCATCTTGTCCTGATTTCTGATTGCATCCTACTGCTTTCAGATTTGCTGGCATCAGTGTTGACTATACTCAGACCATTCCCAAATTTAAAATAATTAATGCAATTTAAATTAGATTTGAGGAAATTCTGGTTGAAGTATTGTCACTTATAAGATACCCTGATTTAAGTAAAATCTTAATCTTCTATTATAGTTTATATTTATAGGTAGATTACTAATATCCAAATGCATGTTATATATACATTAGTAAAAGCATGTGTAACATGTATTTATGGATAAAAGTGTTACATTTACTCCAGCACTATATATTGTATTTTAATGCCATCTTGCTCTTATGTCATAGCTGCCATTGAGAACCACAACATATTCATGTTAACGTGAAGACTGTTAGGAAAGAGAAGTAGCTACCATGCAGTTGTGCTGAGACTTAGTGAACATACATCTAAAAATGTCCGGTGGTTTAGGTCTTCTCTTCTGTAACCTAAGCCAGATCATATGTAATTTCCCATGCTATTTAAAACAGGGTTCTCATGTATCAGCCATCTTCTATAAGGGTGCCCAGTGTGACTTCGGTTGATCCTGCTGCTATTCCGCCTTCATTAACAGACTACTCTGTGCCATTCCACCATACGCCAATATCAAGCATGTCATCAGATTTGCCAGGTACGTGGAGAGTTTTTTTTGTTTTCTTTTATGAGGTATTTTTAATATTAGTGAACCAAATAAATTTTGAAATTTCAAATAGGAATGCTAAAGAAATTTGAAGATTTCATACAAAAGTAGTATCTGTTTTAATATATCATACTTAGTTATTATTTTGATAATTACAGGTTTCAGATTATAAGATATAATGGAGAATAGTAAAATTTTTTGGAAATGTGTTCTGCTTCATAGATTAATTTGCATTCAAGCTTTCTTGGTTTATTTATCTTAGAAGTTTTATAGGTTAGGCAGAATATTATCACACTCTTCCTGGTATTACATTCTTTCTTTAATAGCTCATCAGGATTTTAAGGAATACAGATGTAGTTTGGGGCTGATTTGCCTACCAGCTATACCCCATGAGTTTCCCCTATAAAAAAATAGGATCTATTCTATGATTCTGTAGCGCAGAGCTTAGTATTTGAGGAAATTTTGTAAAAATTTACCATTATAAAGATTTCAGAGTGTTTGAATTGTCTTACTATCAGAACTTAAACAGCCAGGCACATACCATAAAATTTAAACTTTCTCCCTTTGCCCTCTCTTTCTCTCTAGCCATTGTTTTTATATACATTTATACCAATAAAATTTAAACAAGTTCGAATTAGTCTTTTATATTCATGACTTTTTCTTTGAAGTAAGTTGATTTTTGTGGGGTTGGGGGTATTACTGGGGAATTTAATTCAGGACCTTGTGCTTGCCAGGCAGGCACGCTGCCACTGGGCTACATCCCCAGCCCTGAAGTTGAATTTGATCTATGACTTAATTTTCTTCTCCTAATTTAAGTATTTTAAGCAAAATTCTTACTTCATTGGGTAAAATTGTGTTACTGAAATAATTGATAGCTCTGTTATCTAGTCTAGTATAATTTTGGCATGTGAAATTTTTTCAGATAATTTGAATAAAATTTAGTGCAAAAAGATAAACTAGTACCAATCACAAGTTTTATTAAATATACTTTTTGTGGGGGCCGGGGATGTAGCTCAGTTGTGCTCCACCTACCTGGCAAGCTCAGGGTCCTGAGTTTGATCCCCAGAACCGGAAGCAAATACGTACTTTTTGCTTCTTGTGCTTTACTCCATATATAATTTGAGAATTGGTGTTTTTAAAGTTTTTTTTAAAACCAGCTAGAACCTACTATAAAGTATTTGTTATATGCAGAGGCTGATAATAATTCTAAGGTATAGGTGAGGGTTCATGCTGCATGACAAAGACAGAAGCTCATATAATTTTAATTCCTAAATGTCACTTTAACCTTGGCTAATTTCAAGAGTGTTCATGTGTCATATCGGTATGCGTTATAAGTAAGCATTTGAAAATAATTTGTTTCTGAAAGACTTATAACTAAAAATCCTGAAAGGGGATATTGAACACTTACATTTGTAAAAATGACCCTGGCCATTCAGCAGTAGCATAGACACAAATTTAAAAAGTCACTTGCCCTGCTACTTTTCAAATTATGTGTGTCTGCATGGATTTTTTTTTTTTTTAGATGAGGGATCTTATATTACTTCAAAATTGAGCTTTATATAGTGAAAATTTTAAGTCTTTATGAAATGTACAAATTTGGGGAAAATGCAGTAAAATATGTCTGAACTGTTGTTTGGTAAAATGCATTTCAAGCTGATACTGATCCTGATATCCATGGCTAGTATTTAGTCAATATAAACCAATACCTGATTGTTAAAATGCTGAGTTTTCTTACCAGTTATAAACTAAATAGTTCAGTTGTCCTTTAGAAGAATTGCTAGTTAATTGACAAATACGAATTACAGTATATGGCAGTTATTACATTTAAATAGCTTAGGTTTTATTATTAATGTGCTGTTTTATAATTAACAATTACTTTGATTTATTTTTGTGTATAATTGTTCTGTAAGTAGTCATAATGTAGTTTGGTATTGATAAATTTAATAATTCTATAATAAAATATTAAATAGAATACCAAGAATGGAGAAATGACGTTTTAATACATTTCTTAACATTCCTTTTAAACATCATAAATATGAATCTTCTGAATCTGCAGGAGAACAAAGAAGAAATGCTATTAATAATGAACTGCAGCTTGGAACATCTTCTGATACTGTGCAACTGTGAATACAAAATAAAACATATAATTTGTATTTATGGATTGGAAAACAGCTTGATTATTTCAAGAAAAAAATATGACTGCCTTATTATTGCTAGTGCCATATTGTCAGGTGCGAATGGTGCTAAAAAGTTGTGTCATTAAAATTTGAAAGTGCTAAACCATTACATATTTAATCATGTAGCAATCATGTTTTGTGAAAGTTTATGGATCAAGTAAGGAAACACATGTTGTGATCAATGAGGGAAAATCTAAAAGCATCAGTTTCACTTAATGCAGTATTTAAATTTTTAAAATTACAATTTTATCAGTGTTGATAAAACAAAAACATTTAGACTATACCTTCAGAATTTTTAACTTTAGTGGCTTTTTAGTTGAAAATAATTGGGTATTTTTTAATTATGAAATTTTTAGTAGGGCAATAAATATATCAATATGATTTGTGACAATTTAAACTTATAGTAAAATTAGGAAATAGCATTTTGCTGAATTTTTAAAATTAGTAAAATTTTAATACTATTGCTGTGACTTTATTTCATTAGTTTTAATCTACTTAAAATATAAAATGTAAGATTTTGATGACAGTTTAGTTTTTTTATTAGCAGGAATAATGTCTGAAATACTGTATCATACTGCCCTGTCTGAGACAGAGTGGCTTCATTGAGAAATATGCACATTTCAAACTTCATTGGTCTTTGAATTGACCACCTGTACAATGCTTGAATGACAATTTTAGTTTCAACCAAAATTATAGAAAAATGTGTATTTTGTCATTGTGATTTCATTTGTCCATGAGTGTTATGAAAAAATATAGATCAAGTAAATCTCTTAAATCTTTTCTAAATAGATTATTTTCTGGCACACATAAAACCTCTAAAGATAATTTCAGTATATCTGAAGAGCTGGATATTGAAATAATTAAAATAGGTAGATTCTTTAGACCTCAGTTGGTACCCTTAAGTTATAGAGCTTCAAAAAGTTTCAATATTATATCAAACCTGAGTGTTTGTTTCAATTGAAGTTAATGGAAATAGTTGAACATTTAGAAAGTGAGTGTTTTCAAGTAATTTGTATACAATAGTCCATCAGAGATGTCAATATAAAATTTCAGTTATTAAAATGGATTGAAGAATATTAAATGTGATGGAAATAGAAAACTAAAAATGTATTTAAGAGTAGAAGCTACTATAAAAAATGTCACATCATTTGAAGCAAAGCAAAAATTAATAAAATTATACTAATTAGCATTCCAATAACTTTGTGACTTAGTAATAGAAATATTGCTACCTAAAATTTTCAGAAGGCATATGAGAGCTAGACATTTTAAATTAATGCTCAGAAGCACGAATAAGATTTACTGAACATTATCCTTAATGTGAAGCAAAGTGCACTGCTTATTTGAGATACATCACTTGCTCATTATCAGTCTATTGGGGAAGCTCTTCAGAAAGTGCTTTGTGGTTCCCTTTGTCCATTGTTGGCTCCAAATGCTGTATCACATAGCTAGTAAGAGAAAAATGAAATAAACATATATAACAAACGTTTTTTTAAAATGTTGTAAAAATTGTTTTCATATGATTGGTGCTAAAGTCTGTATCACTTGATAAGCATTTAAAATGTCCTTATTTAGAGATTATAAGGGAATAAATATTTTAAATTTTGGGGGTTAAGATTCACCATGCTTATTAAATATTTAAAATATTTCCACTAATATTCTCTATTTTGAATATAATATTAGAATTTCATTCTGCATCATTGTTGCATTTGATGCCAAATTCCAGTGTACAAAAATTCACAGAATTGAGTAGACATTGGCCTGTCTTGATGACCAATACTTAGTATGTGATTGTTTTTAATCTTTTAAAATAATTGAAAAGAATTAAGTCACATATAGGTCTAAAGGAATTGACTTTGAGGTTTATCGCTATACTTTTCAGACTTGAAGCTTTTTTAGTGTTATTATAACTTTAACACTTTTATATTTCTGTTTCTAAAACATAATTGGAGAACCCCAATTCTTTAGAAAACTGCATTAGCTGAGAACCTAGTAAACCTTCATTAATTTGCTAGTGAGTAGCTGTTACTAAATGCTTGTTTTCAGTGAAGTAAATACTTGTTTAAGAAGTGATATTTTAGATGAACTTCAGTGTGGTGTATTTCTGAAAAATAAATGTTAAGTGTCTTAAGAGACGAAGTATGTTTTCTTTAATGGTCCTAAGATAATTATCTCATCATTTTTATTGCTTCTTACTCTGTTAAGTGACAAAAAATATTTACTTTGACTAGTCCTAATTCTCTGAAAAGATTTGGACTGCTACCTTTGAGTTCTGGGAGGTGGTTTTTCCAGTTGTTTTCCCTGGGGGATGTGTTCATCTTTGAGTTTTGTGCAGATTAAATATCAGTGATCATGGTTTAGAACTTCCCTATGGCATAGTGGTAAGCATCCAAATGTTTTGTGATTTATAAGTACAATATAATTTGGGGAAATAATTCTAGTCTCCAAAATTTGAGACAACTATTAACAAAACATTTTTGTTTTAGGTTTGGATTTTCTTTCCCTTATTCCAGTTGATCCCCAGGTATGTATCCTGAATTTAAGCAACTAATTTGTATTTGATTATTGGTTATGTCATATTAACTAAAAATGACCAGTTGCATAAAATCAGGACAGTTAACTCTCAGTTACACTGATGGAAAGAAAGTAGGAAGTCCATACTATATAAATTTTTCACAATTTTAGTTGGAGAAAAAGAGTTAATGGTTTTTCATTTATAACTTTTTGTCTTTAATATTTAAATTTCAAATTATATCTTATTGAACAGTCAGTTACTATTTCTTACAAGCTTGTGTGATTAGAATGAGTAGAAGCATGTGTGGTTGTTGCAAAGTAAAATTTTTTTGTATACGTAAAAATGTATTTTATACATAGAAACATTAACAGCCAAAGCTCATTAAATAGACTTGACTCACTAGCTTATTTCTCCATTATTTGAAGAACAATCAGATTCAAACATTGAGGGTTTCACAATTCATCTTGCAAACTATTCAGTAAGCAAGAATTCCACTGTTAGCCTTAGAGATAGAAAAGAGGAAGGAAACAGCAAAAGAAACTTTGAAAGCGGGTGTGGCCCAAGGGAGTGATAGTGGAAGAACATTAACTGCTGCCTTTTAGGGTTGCTTCGAATCAGCTAACTGCAAATCTATATGAGCCTCTTGTTTCAGTACTCTATCTGATCATCCAAACAGCATGGGAAATTAGAGCCCAAAGTAATATACAGACTGAAGAATTTCTTGTCATCTTGAGTTTACCTTGTTATATCTGCAAATTGTAAAACAAGGCTATTTTCCTAAGAAGTGGATTGTTAGGCTTAAAAGATTAACAATTTTATATGAGGAAGCCTTTTAAAAAATCTTGAAACCTAAAGCTTTTATTTCATAGTTCTATTTGACATGCTTAGTAGCAAGGTGATTTTCTTCTCCTTTCTCACTCGCTCTTTTTTTTTTTTTTTTGGCATACTAGGTTCTTAACCCAGGGCCTGTTAACACTGAGCCAGGTGCTCACCCCTTTTTAAAATTTTTTGAGACAGTGTTTAGCTACTAGTGTCCATGCTTTTGCCATCCTCCTGCCTCAGCTTCTCGAGTAACTGGGATTACAGGCATGTGCCACCACACGTGGGGGCTGTTTTATAAGTCAGTAGGAGGATGAAGTTATACCTTCTATTTACCAAAGAATCTTTAGGTTTTCCTACTCAACCTCTAGATTGACCTTTATTCCCTGATATCTTTGTGTAGCTATATGCATATGGGACACAGAGTTAAAAGTCAAATGGCTGCAACATGAGTGTAAGAATTCAAAGCATGGAGTCCATTGATAGCAAGATTGTCCTTTTTTTTTTTTTTAAAACTATGAGACAGTCAGAAACAGCCTGAAATATAGCAGGAATAAAATAGAAATTTTGGGGCTTTTTGTCCAAATTTTCCCCTCTGTTCTAGTAAAATTGGTTTGTTAGAGAAGTTAGAAATTGATTTGATTTAGGCAAGAATTTTTAATATTACTTGACTATCTTTAACATATTCCTGCCAGCTTGAACCATCAGTGTACAATGCTTGACTATCGTGAACATGTTGAAGCTTCTTAGAAACTCCTTGAGAGCTGTCCTTCACTCCTCATTCAACCTTGAAACTCTTTGCATGTGGCATTCATTATATTGATGAAATCAAGAGTTATCCACCAGAACATTAATTTACTCTTTTGAAAGGCAGCCTGAATTTTATTTGGTGTTCTTCCTCTTACTGGCAGCTTAATCGGGCTGTTGTTTCCACTTTATTTTTGAGCCTTGAAAATTATGTTGTCTAAGCAACTTCAGTTTTAAATTACTTTTCATAATTTATTTTTTCTGAGGATAAGCATAATGATGTATAAATGGACAATAGTAATTAGATATATTTACTGATCTTTCATACAGTCTCAAGCAGAACATTTCATGGAATGTATTAGGCATCACTTATTTTGCTAGTTTTGGCAGTTTCTCACATAAAACATTTTGTGCTTATATGCAAAATGTGTTTAGCTCTTTTCTTCACTCCTCTTGGTAATCATTTGGATATTATACTCAGGTTTGTATTTGTATGAGAATCAATAACTAATACGGTAATAACACTTGGAGAGGGAATCAAGCAAGCATCACAAGGAAGACTGGATCTCTTCAAGTAATGTTATGTATATAAGTGCAAAGAAGTCCAGTGCCATCATTCAGCTGGTCATTCTTAATATTCATAGAGGGTCTTTGACTAAATTTTGGGAAATGGTTGAATTTTGAATTAGCACTTTTGCATAATACTGTGAAAAACAAGTCCTTATTACCCTTTTATAGTGTGATTTAAACCCTGTCTTCAACACACTTACTGAGCAAATTAGTTTTGAGATTAAGTATGACTCATAGTTGTGGGGCCGATATTTCATATTAAATACTTCAGTTATTGTTGACGTTACTTTTACCTCTATATAGTCAACAAACATTCGCACATTTTGGGAGAATAGAAAAATAGGCTGCATTCTCTAGAGAATGTAAAATAGCTAAATTCGTGTCATCTTCCACCCAAAGATAAGAAGTTTTCGGATATTTTGGAATCTCAGGAGGATTTAAATATGTGGCTATCATTTGTGCATATCTAACAATTTCTAGTCTCTCTATTTAAAACCAGTGTAGCCTCTTCCTCATCGGCATCATTGTTTGTTTCAAGCAGTACTGTCCTCCTATGTTTTTGGATAGTCTCACCTCACCCTTAACAGCAAGCAGTACGTCTGTCACCACCACCAGCCCCCATGAAAGCAGTACCTATGTTAGTTCATCCAGCAGCAGAAGTGAGACAGGGGTCATAACCAGCAGTGGAAGTAGCATTCCTGACATCATCTCATTGGACTAAAGAAGGACGCACTTGATTCTGGAAATCATTTCATCAAAACTGCTTTTTCTTGGATCTCTGGTCCATGGGAGCTATTTTCTTTTGACAATTTGATATTTATTGAAAAATCAGATGGATTCTTTTCCTTTCTGAGAGATGAACATAGATGACAGCAGCAAGAACCAAATGACAGGCAAGGACTTCTTGCATATGCTGTACGCTGATCATCAGTTACATGCAGCCATAAACAGTGTCTTGGGCAGTGGATTTCAATTTCATATGTTACTGGATGGATTTTACAGATCGTTTTAAAATTTTTGTTATATAATAAACAGCAATAAAAATCATGTAAATATTTGAACTTTCTAATTAAAAAAAAGATGTAATCATTGATTCTAGAATGATAGCAACTTCTGTTTAACTCAATGTGAAGGAAAAAAAAAATATGGAAAGAAGTCATGTTTGCTGAATGAATCCTTTCCACAGAGATTTGTTCTATTTTATTTAAGTGATGAAGTTTTGATAAATGGCCAGAGCTTGGGTTCCACTTTTCTTCATGATCCCATCAATGAAAAAGGGCCGCTGTGTTGTACATTTTCTCTTGGTTGTCATTTATACTTTGACACTGTTTGCTAATCAATGCAGAGTGAAGGTCTGGGCTTTGGCTGCTCTTTATTAGTGATTATGTTTAAGAACTATGCAGATTCTGCCCTGACGTATTTTTTGGTAACTGTACATTCTCATTCTAGAGTTTTCTATAAATTGGAGGCTTGCATTCTTAGGAAAGAAATTGTCTCCAGCCTTTGAGGTAAGGTGCAGTTGGAAAGTTTGTTAGATTGTTTTTCATAATGTCCAGAAATACTGATATTTTGAGGGCAGCATTAGAAAAGATTTATCGGAGATGGTAATAACAAACTTACTTCGTGAGAACTTAATTTGTTCATTCATTTTAGAAGATAAAATATACAAATCTTTGTTGAAACTTTTTACATTTTAGAGGCACTGAAATAGAAATTAAATGTAGGTTTCACATCATATTGCTCACCATTGTATTTTCTGTTTCAGCATTGATTTTCAAATTTAAGGAAAAGACAAAAGCATGGTATGGGGGATATCAGATTTCTTTTTACATTTTTAAAAAAATATTTTCTGAGCCCACAAAATGAGAAATGGTTGAAGTGTGAGGAAGTGTTGGGGAAGGACCTGAAGCCCACCTACTTTGTGTCTCACTCTCCCCTTTGCCGAAACACTCCATTCTAGTGGCTGTACTAAGGGCAATTTGAAAACTACTTTCCTCGTGTGTTTGATTCTAAATTGCTCAAAAACCTGAGTTTTACTTGGAGACATGTTCATCCAGGTTTTGTAGTTTGTTTCATTTGGCTTCTTGAATCATTTTGAGTTCTCAAGGATTTAGGACTTTGCTGATGTTTAGCTTTCTCTTCGTAAGCTATATCCACTTTAAAATAAAATCATTCTTTTCATGGCTAATGAAACTGATTTTTTTGGCAGATGTTCACATATGAGGACTCTACACTTCATTTTATTATTTTTTTGTTTGTTTTGTTTTGATTTTTTGAGACAGGGTTTCACTGTATAGTTGAGACTGCCCTGGAACTCACTATATTGTCCAGGCTGGTCCCGAACTCACAGCGATCCTCCTGCTTCAGCCTCCCGAGTGCTGGGATTACAGCCATGCGCCACCACGCCCAGCTTACACTTCATTTTAACAGGGACTCATTACTTCAAAAATAAGTGCAACTTCAGGGAGCTGATTTGTTCTTGCTTGGTTTTTGGTATCCTCAAGTTTTCATGGCCTTTGTGCACTTTTTTTGTGCTGATTTAATGTGTAATTTTTCATTTTCTTTGGCTTCATCATCCCCCTATTTATTGTAGTGGCCCTTTGAGAGTGCCACTATTAAAGATGTGGAAACGTAAAACCAACCTTGACCCTTCCAGCAATAGTTGAACCAGTCACCTAGTCACTAGATTTGAGTCCAGGTTAGAATCTTTTACAGACATAAATATTTCTACTAGAATTTTACATTGCTGCTCTTAAGTATACATGTAGTTTGTTAACTCCATTATCAGATAGAAAAAGTAAGCTTACTTGTGCAGAATAATTTTTTAATAAAGAAAGTATATTTCTTAACATTTTGTTATACTTTCGATTCTCAGAGCCTCCCCAATTTAATAAAGTTTTATAGAGTAGATGAGAACATTAATTAGAGAGTATTTACTTATTATAACCTATAACCTCTTTGCTTTTGTGGTTGTGATATGTTGTCACTATTTTACATGAATAATTTTAGTATTTATTTTTGGTGCTGTACACTTGTTACATATAAAAGTTTATTTTCTCTCAGGCAACTAACACTTAAACTTTTAAGTTTTTATCTTAAACTTGGGGCTTAACTTTGATGGGTGTCTTTGAAGATGAATACTTTTCTGTATGCCTTGGCCCTATGGCATCATTATGGTTTTTAAGCCAACATCCTTTATTTAATATGGTTATTATAATTATTTGTACAAAGATTCTAACTTTTTAGTAGTGTGTTTTGCTAGTACAGATTTTTTTTACCCAAGTACAATAGAACAAAGTGGTCATTCTTTACTAAGTACTACATACTTAGATGTCAACCAGCAAGAAACCAGTTGTTAACTTTCATAGTCACTTAGACAACCTGTATTTTTATCTTTATTCATTTAGAACTGTGTAGGGCTTTTGTTTGGTAACTCCTGGCAGTATAATTGGTGCTGGATATACTTTTATTTCTGAAGTCTGCTTATACTCACTAGCTTTCTTGCCCCTAATAAGGATTTAATTTTCATTTTTGCTGAGAGAAATTATAAGTATTTGACATTTACCCTGGGATAATTTTAAAAGTCAAATGAAACAGTTGAGGTGAATCCAGGATATGTGGCATTTATCTAATGATGTGTTCCAGGGAATGCAGAAGGAAAATACGAAGTGTGTTGGTAAAGATTAGCACCAAAATGTAATTAAGTTAATCAATAACTCTTGGTTTGAAACTTGAGTTTCCCTTTGGATAGTTTTAAGGAATTCAAAAGAAAGGTAAGATGTTGGATTGTAGGTGAAGTTGTATGGAACAGAAATTATTTTGATTTTTGATAGGCCCTCAAGCCAGTCCTGGGGATACTCAGTTTAGTAACTAACCTACACATCTTTTTCTTCTGCCAATAAAGTATTAACTTGCATTTGTATTTTAAGTAAAGTTTTTATGAAGCATTTATTTAATTCTCAGGCCTTTCTCTTTAGTCTTCAGTTAGTTCAGAAAAAAAATTTTTTTGCCTGCACCTTTTTCTCCATTTCTATGGAATCTCATAAAAAATTGTTTCCCAGCCCTTTTCAATACCCTATTTAAGCTTGAATCTGATGTTGGATTTAGTGGTCCATATGGCACTGTTCCATATGTTGTGAAAGCTTGAAATTGTCATTTTGATGGATAACTGGTGGTTCAATTCAACTGGACACAGCATCTTTTCTGCTGTAGGGCTACATGGATTGGTGAAATTTGTGAAAAGGATTTAAGAATTTCTCTGCTTTTTAAGAATCTGACCCTACCAAATAAACAAGTGGTTTGTATCCCTTTCACCTTTTTGATTAGGTACCACACTAAAATTGCTAGAAAAAAAACAAATACAGCTGTATAAAGATATTTGCCCTTTAATACTTGCCTGGTTGGATGTTTTTGTTTTTTCTGTTTGTATCAATAGGGCATGCTCATTGTGGAAATTTTAGATAATACAAAAAAGTACAAAAAAACAATTTTTATCACCAAGTGAAAAGAGACTTGGAATTTTTGCATATTTCTTGCCAAATTTCTTGCTATTTGTGTGTATTTTTTCTTAGATTTATTCAGTCTACAGCATTGTTCCATTTTGTTAACTGTGTCAGCCATTACTAATTACATAATATTCCATTGTATAGATGTACCATGATTCATATAATCTTTCCCATTGGATGTTTTAGATTTAATCTCATAATGTTGCAGTGACTTCATAAATTGTTTTCCTTAGGATGAATTCCTAAAGAAATGATTTCTGGGTCAAGGCTATGAACACTTTTGTGTTTGATTCATATCAATTTCCAAATAGGGATGGTCATTTATGCCCCACCAGATGGTATAAGAAAGGGCTGTCTAGTTGTATTATTTATGAACATGTAACATTTATTTTCAGGCAACTGCACTAACATTTTCTGCCCTTACAATACTAGTAAACTGGACTGAGGAGGTAATTAGCAAGCATTTTCCTAGGCTTTTTCAGATTTAAATAAGCTGTTGTCCCTCATTATCTGTAGGGGATTGGTTCTAGGACGCTCCAATACCAAAATCCACAGGTGCTCAAGTCTCTTTTATAAAGTGGGATAGTATTTGCATATAACTACACAGTCCTCCCCTATACTTTAAATCATTTCAATTATTTATAATACCTAATACAATATAAATGTTTGTAAATAGTTGTTATACTATATTGTTTAGGAAATAATGACAAGAAAAAGTCTACATGCTCAGTACAGATGGGATTTTTTCCTGAATATTATCATTGTGCAGTTGCAGATGCAGAACCCCTGGCTATAGAGGCTTGGACTGTGTTTACTGACATGTTCCAGATATGTCCACATATGGATAGCCTACTGATTATACTTGCACTGTGAAGTAAATACTCCTTGTTAGATTACATTTGTGGGGTTTTAATTTTTATTCTTTTTTACCATTTGTGCCTAGGGCCAGCCCTTAGTAGCCAGCTCTCTTTTTCCTCTTGTAGGCTTCATTTTGGCCTTTCTGAGCTCCCTAAAGCCAGTAGGATCTGCTGAGGCAAAGGCAGTCCATCCCAAACTGGAGAAGTGGTAAGGCTAAAATACAAATAGGATCCAGTTCTGCCTGTTTCACTTTGCATTATTTTATGTTGCCAATCAGATCTTAACTATTGGTGTTCTGAGAACACCATGGGGAAAGAAAACATAGATGTTTTAGGAGTAGCATTTATTTTTGATTGACATAGTATATTCATTACTTTCCAGACTTTTTGTTTCTGAATGGCTTTTAAAGCTTAATTTATTTTATGTTCTTGAAGTTTAACTCTTAAGTAAAGAGTATTGTTGTAAAATGCAATATTCCTCTTTCTTTGGCTGTTATTAGACTGTTCAACAAATGTTTAGTGTACAGTTGTACCTCAGTTTATGAATTTAATTTGTTTCATGATTTTGGGGAAGATGGCTGCATTTGTATTTGTGTGGGGAAGATGGCTATGGTTATGTTTGTTACCTGATGTAAGATTGCACATGAAAGCACAATTTTGCTGAACACTTTAGTTAGCAAACTGAAGCTTTGGTGAACTGAGGTATTTGTAAATAGTGTGGGTTAAAGTAGTTACAAAAGGTATAGTCTCAGTCCTGAAAGAGCTTGGAATGCAGTTTTTTTTTAAAAAAAATCAGGAATACTTAGTAACAGGCATTCTGCTAAGGACTTTATGAAGATGTTTCATTGTAGCAGCCTTTCAAAGGAAAGTATCTCCATTTTACAAATGAAGGTGTGTGGGGCATAGTAGTGGGCTTGGGAGTCTGACCCAGACCTACCTCAGAAGCCCTCTGACTAAACTGAAGTGACGTTAACTAGCTGTGGTGTTTAGGAGACTGGTATGAAAATCTATATAAAATTAGTTTCAGACCATAACCATGGTAATCATTAGGAAAGGTGAATACCAGAGCCTTTCAGAGGAAAATTGAAGACTTGGGCAAGAGTATTGCCAAGAGTTTTGAGGCCAGCCTAGACTACATAGGGAGGACCCCCCCCCAAAAAAAAAATTCAGTGACTGAACAGTAAGGGCTGTGTCAGTCCTCAAACCCAGGGCTGTTATCCTTCCATACTGTTACAACTTGGGGGAAGACAGTGCTATTTACAGAGATAAGAGGCAGTGTGGTTAGTCATTTAGGGGAAAGGAGTTTAAGCAGGGGTTATCAGGAAGCTTCTGTGAGTCTCATTGGTTTTTCTGCAGTCTTAAGAAGTACAACTCCTCTGTCATACATTTTCACCTTCATTCACCTCTATACTGTGCATGTCTGGTCACTCATTCACTGTCCTAAACCATGTTGGTTACATCTCACCCTTATTTTACTCTTCCTTACTTTGCCTTTGTGGATTTACCTGTCAACTTAGGTTCTACCATTACCCAGAACTGTCACTAGTGTGGGCTCTATTATAGTCTTTATTTTTCAAGAGGTGATAGGTGCTGCCTGTCTGATGGAATGCTTCTGTCAAAAATCTCTGCTTCTGAAGGAAAACGATATCAGTGACGGGCTTGTAAAACAGACAGCATTGGATGATCTTTCTGATGATTAATAATGAATATTCATTGTAGAATTTGGTATGATTATCTTCATTTTATAATTGTACAAACAGATTGAAAGGATAAGTGAACCTGGACTTGCCTAAGGTCATCCAGCTAAGTGGAGAGTTAGACTTCAAATCAAGATTTTAACCATTTTCTGACTGTTGTATTTTTTGTTATTGTTTTGAGCGCTGGGTACAGAACCCAGGGCTTCACACATGCCAACCATGGGCTCTTCCACTGAGCCATGCCCCCTGCTCCTCCTTGTTCTAGTTTCAAAGTAGATGTTTCCTACCTTCTGTCATATCACATAGCATATTTATATCCTATGTGGTACTTATTACACCATATGGCAATTTCATGTATTGGTTCACTGTGTTGTCTCTATGAGATTGTAAGCTCCATGAGAGCAGGAGTGGCATCTTGCATTCCAGAGCATAATAATATGGTATGTGGTGTGTAGTAGATGCTCAATAAATATTTATGAATGGAGAAACGATGGATAACTATTTTCATTTGACTTGTGTTGATTGTGAAAATTTAATAACCTGAGTAGCAGGCATCACCAAGAAAGAAAAGTAGGAGGTAAAGTTTAGGGTAAGTGGTAGGAGGCGTTAGATGTTAGGAAGAAGTGAGCACACTGGCCTTGCAGACTGCAACAAACTAATAGAACAAGAGCTGTTAATGAGGGACAGGTAGGTCAGTGCACAATGGAGAAAATAATTACTGTACAAGTAGATCTTACAGTGAAGCTGAGCACATAGTGACACCTAGACCCAGCATACTATGTACATAGAAGGCTAGGGAAATTTTGCATGTAGTCTTTCTTAAATTATGTGATGACCACCTCATTTAATTAAACAGTATAACTGCAGGTATAAATATGGTTTAGTCTCCTGAGGCGAGCAATCTGACTGAAGTCATTGTTGGACTCAGTACTTTAGAACAAGAATCAGTTAACCTGATGTCCCTGGGACTCATGCCCATATGCTATTTGAAGTGCAAGCATCACTTACCCTAAAAAACCTCATACCCATCGGTAATCATTCCAAATCCCCCATCAGTCTCCCTGCACCCCAGCCTTAGGCAACTACTAGTCTGCTTTCTGTCTCGCCTATTCTGAACATTTTACATATATTGAATCATATAAAGTGTGGACTTTTGATTAGCTTTTTTTCCTTTGGCTTAGAGCAGTAATAGCAAATCTTGTAGAGCTTTCATTGATAACAAATAGCCACTGCAGCACATGTGACACATTCACAACCACTGGCCTAGTGTAATCACAGTTCATCCATGCTATAGTGTGTATTAGTTTCTTCTTACCCCTCCACTTTTGGCCAAATAATAGCATTGTGTGGATATATCATGCTTTATTTGTCCACCAGTTCATAGACATTTGGGGCATCCCCATATTTTGCCTATTACAAGTACTGGTCATGTACATGTGTTTTGTGGACATATGCTTTTATTTCTTTTAGGTATATACCTAGAAATGGAATTACTGAGTCATACGGTATCTCCTATTTAACATTGAGGGGCTTGCAGACTTTTCCAGATTGGCTAAACCATTTTAAATTACCACCAGCATTGTATAAGGGTTCCAGTTCCTTCAGTTCCTCAACAAGCTGAGCACCTCTAATTCCGGCTACTTTTGAGGCTAAGGCAGGGCTGTCAAGTTCAAGGCCAGCCCAAGCAATTTATTGCAAGACTGTCTCAGAATTTAAAAAATGAAAAAATCAGGGATATAGCTCAATGGTAAATGCCCTTGGGTCAAGCCCTAACTTACCACCCCCCAAAAAAAGATCTCCCCAACATTTATGGTTGTCCTGTGTTGGAAATATTACCTGTTAATTGTTTTGGTTTGTATTTCTCTAATGGATACTGACCATCTTTATATGTGCTTGCTCATTTGCATATTTTCTTTGCAGCAATACTGTTTGAATCTTTTCCCCCACGTTTTAATTGGATTGTCAAAGTTTTCACTTCAGTGTTTTAACAGTCTTATAAGTTTTTTAAGAGGCATGATTTGGAAATATTTTCTCCCAGATTATAGATTGCCTGTCTTTACTCCCGATATTGTCCCTTGAAGCAGACATTTTAAATTTTGATGAAAACTCCAGTTTCTTTTCCTGTGTTGCATATGCTTTTGATATCACAGCCAGAGAGTTTATTGCCAAATCCAAGACCATAAACTTTTACCCTATTTCATCCAAAACTTTTATAGTTTAACTCATATTTAGGATTTTGTTCCATTTTGAGTTATTTTTTATATTACATAAGGGTCCACTTTTTTGCATGTGACTATTCAGTTGTCCTGGTATCAATTGTTGAAAACAATTTTTTCCTTGTTGAATGGTCTTGGTACCCATTTTAAAAATCTGTCATCTGTAGACACATGAGTTTATGATCTCTCCATTGATTTGTTTATCCATATTCCAGTACCATACTGCTATGATTACCATTCCTTTGTGACAAGTTTTGAAATTGGAAAGTGTAAAAAGATTGTTTTGTTGTTGTTGTGTGTGTGTGTGTGTGTGTCTATTTTTTATTACTGCTCTGGCCACTTCTGGTGTCCTTGCAATTCCATATGAAGTATAGAGTCAGCTTGTAAATGACTAGGAAAAAGCCAGCTGAAATTCAAATAAAGATTGCCTTGAATCTGTAAATTAATTTGGGAAGTGTTACCATCTTAATAAGAATAATTCTGGCTTATGAACATAGTTTTTCCAGTAATTTAGATTTTTTTCATTTATTTTCAACAATATAGTTTCACAGTGTACATTCATATTGCTTTATATGTACTTTTTTGCTGCTATTGTAAGGAATTGTATTTTGGATTACTGATTAAAAAAACTTGATTTTTTAAAAACAAACTTTGTTTTGAAGAGTATTTTAGGTTCATACCAACATTGAGCAGAACATACAGAAAGTTCCCACATGCTCCCTTAACCCAAAAGCCCCTCCCACCGTCATTGTACTACACCAGTGTGAAATACTTCTTACAGTTAAAGAATATTTGTTACAGCAATGACACATCATTATCAACTAAAGCTTATAATTTATATTAGTGTTCACTCTATAAATTCTATGAGTTTTGAAAAATATATGATGCCATGTAGATACACCATTATTATGTCAAACAATAATGTTGCTACCCTAGGAATCCCCAGTGTTTTTCTTTTCATCCTGGTCCTTGCTCCAATCCTGGGAAACCTCTGATCTTTCTAACATCACAGTTTTGCCTTTTCCAGAATGCCGTATTATTGAATCATACAGTGTGTATCTTTTTCAGAATGGCTCTTTTCACTTTGGATTTGAATATGTTTCCTCTTACTTATGAAAATAGTATGTTGAATTCTTCAAATGGGCTGTAGCATTTTGTGTTCCCACCACCAGTGAATCAGCTTCTGTTACCACACATCCTCACCATCATTTGGTGTTGATGTTTTAAATTTTGGCCATCCTAGTAAGTGTGGTGGTGTTTCAGTATTTAATTTGCAATTCTAAGACATTATCATATGCTTATTTTTCAATTGCACACTGAACCCTCAAGTTACAACCATCCTGACATATGAACAATTTAGGTTAATTAGATTAATGGGAAATTAATCTGCCTTTTGTTATATATAGCAGGTACCCAGGTACATACATATCTCAAGCTATACTGAGTTACAAGCAGCCCCTGGGAGCCGATCAAGTTTGTAAGTCATGGATCCACTATATATCTTTTCTGAGGTTTTCATGTCTTTTGCCCATTTCAAAGACAGGTTATTTTCTTACAGAGTTTCAATAGTTCTTGGTATTTTTTGTTATAGCAGCCTTTTATCAAATACATATTTAGCAAGAATTTTTTTTTCCCAGTCTGGCTTGTCTTACATGCATGATGCAGTGCAAAATTTTTCAATTTTAATGTCATCTACCATATCAGTTCTTTTCTTCTATAGATTGTATCTTTGGTGTTCTTACAAAAGGCATTTACCATACCAAACTTCATTTTGATTTTCGCCTTTTATACTTTACATATTGATCTGTGTTCCATTTTAATATTTGTGAAAAATGTGTGATCTTTGGGTGGATGGAGGAATTGATTGATGGGTTGATTGATTTGCACGTGGATGTCCAGTTGTTCAGCATCATTTGACAAATCTTTTTCTCACTGTCTTTGTCCCGGTGTCAAAAGAGCAGTTGATTGTATGTATGTTGGACTATTTCTGAGCCCTTTATTCTGTTCCATTGATCTGTTTATTCTTTCACTAATACAACACTGTCAGGACCACAACTGTTGCTTTATAATAAGTCTTGAAATTGGTAGAGTCAGTCCTCGGATATTGTTCACTTTCAATGTTATATTGGCTATTCTGGGTCTTTTGCCTCTCTCTACAAATTTAGTTTGTTGATATCCATAAAATAACTTGAATTTTTATTAGAATTGTGTTTATTCTACACAAGCTGGCAAGAACTGACACCTTGAAGATACTATCTTCCTATCTGTGAACAAGGGATATCTCTCCATTTTATTTAGCTCTTTGATTATTTTGCATTGAAGTCTTGTAATTGTTCTCACATAGACTTTGTACATACAAAGAAGCAATGGGCTTCTGTTTCGCTTGTATCCTGCAACTTTGTTGTAATCACTTGCTAGTTCCGGAAAGCTGTTTGTTCATTCTTGGG